TTTTTTTTTTTCTCTCTCTAATAACTCTTAAGAAATTTCATTCATTTGAATTGTCACCTTAAAAATAGGAATTAATCAAGTAAGCACTAAGTTATAAAGTTTCAAACATGCATAAACTGATATAGGATTATCCGATCTCAAACTGAGCAATTATTGTTTCTCGTATTTTAATAAACAACTTAGTAATTTTATAAATGTTTTATGGAGTTGGTTCTTTTCTACTCTTTGTGTATTAATATATCAGGCAAGTGGCCCAAAAGAGGGCTAGGCTGAGACACGTCATATCTTATCTCTTCCAAACCTAACAAGTGACTGTCGTCCAAAGGAGATCCGGGGGAGCTGCGGGTTTCCTAAGCAACGGCCGTCGGAGCACCTCGGTCTTGAGAGCCTGCCAGCCGCGGAGGAGTGGCATTTTCCGGAAACAAGGCCCGAAAAAGGCGGCCAAACTTGCTATCTTCTCTGTGTGAGGGAAGGACCCGAAAGCTGAAGATGTCGAACCTTCGGGAGCGAACGACAGTAGCGAGGAAGCGATGACGCCGGGTGTGGTACGACGAGAACAATGGAGACGTCAAGAGCGCAGGTGCCATGTAGGTCACCACTTGAAGCTAGAGGAGGAGCACTTGCTGCCGGTGAAAAGTGGTTGACTACAACGGTCTGAACAACAAGCGGGCTCTCGCCAGCCAAACCCATGGTAGTCGGGGACTGCAGGTGAATGGGGAGCACAGGTAGAGGCCGAAAAACGGACAATCCAAAAGAAGATAAGACCAAAAAAAAAAGGAAACCGACAAAAGGAACATGAAAAGAAATGAAAAAGAAAATTAAGGTAGAGGCTGAAAACGATCGTCGCCGCCGGCAGCCGACCGAAAACTGGGGAATGAAACTAAAACCGGGACCTGAGGAAGAAGGGGAGGAATGAAGAAGAGACAAAATATGAGAGGGAGCTAGAGAGGAGGAGAGAACATTCTAGAGATAGAGAAAATTTTTTAACTCGTCCATTGTTTAAGGACAATGGTTTGCACTGTACCTCAAATGAGTTTCTCTTCTATAAAATTTGTCAAAAAAA